CAAAAAGCACTAAACAGCTGAATGGCTTGGCCAGCCAACATCAGAAAGACTCATCAGCTACCCCAGGGCCGACACGAGGGACACATGAGCCGAGTGGCCATGGGGGCCGTGCATGGTCCCAACAGCATGGTTCCCACTCACCAAGGCTGATCTAGCTGCTGCCACCATGCCCGGGCCTGGGAGGGGCATAGCAACTGGGAGTCTGATGACTCGGGGATGAGGGTCCAGGCCCTATGGTCAGACAAGGTCCTAAGACCACCAAAATGCTGGCTGGAGGGCCTGGGGCTCTAAAGTGGGGAGTGGAAGAAAGAGATATGACTCTGCCTATGAGCTAATGGCCCTGAGGCCAGCTGCAGCATCAGGAGCAGTAGCCCCATCAACCTTCCTCTTCCGAGTTTCCTGCAGGAAGAAAAGTGCCCTGGGTCCCAGAGGAGCGGCTCTCAGAACGTCCATGAAGATGTGGATGCAGAGGTGCCAGAGGTGGACACTGTGAAGATGCCACACATCTTCCCCAACAAGGGGGCTTTTGTCCCAATTGCTGGGAGCGCTGTTGGCAGTCAGCCTGCTCTCTGTGGAGAGTCCCCTAAGCCAAAGTCACGTGCCTTCCCAGCGGCCTGCACCCCATGACTGCTCCTGTAGAAGTCCTGCTCAGGACAAAGACGAGGGCCTCTCTGGTTTCAAAGCTCACCATGGGGTCCACCCAGTCATCCTCACACCCACACCACAGCTTTGCTCCTCCCTCTGTCCATTCCTGCTGGCATACCCCTCCTTCCATAGGTTTCCATTCCTATGTCTGTAAAAGTATTTAAACATAGTCATCAATCACATGTCCAAACATTGCTCTATTGTTGTATATAATAAAATAATCCTCTTTCCACTTCAGAATCCAGCTTTCATTGGAAGGTCACAGCTTTACCCATCTCCACGCCCACACCCACCAATTCCCCCTGCAGAACTTTCTGGATCTTGGCAATTTACAAGACGGCTGCCATTTTTGTGAGCAATGCTTTGTACCAGGTGCTTCTTGCTCATCCTCTCATTTGCACCTTAGCACCGCTATGAGGTCGTTCCTGTGTCTTTTTCATTTCTGATGAGGGAACCAGAGCTCAGGAGGTTCAATTGCTCACTCGAGGTCACATCTCTAGTGAGCAGGGGGACCAATCTGATTCCTGAGGCACTGCACGCCCACACCACTTTTTCAGGTAACAAGCAAAAGGAGAAGGGTTGCTCGTCACTCTTAGATGACAGGTTGAGGACTGATGGGTGGACATTTTGCAGGAAGGTATATCTCAGGTAAGCAAAAGGAGGAACTCTAGCAAGGGAGTACTCAAAAGAAGGACGGGTGTTTTTTTTGGGGGGGTGGGGGCAGTGAAGCCCTATCTCTGGGGATATCCAAGCTGCCACCAGGACTAAGAGAAATGTTAATCTTGGCAATCAGAAAGCCCCCTGCCAACTCTTAGAAGAAAAGATTCTCAGATTCCATAAATGACACAAAACTCCCAGCGCTGAGCTGACTCAAAATTTCCAACTGGTTTGAGGATCAGCAGAGTCCTAACCAAAAGTCCTTCAACTGGAGTGAGGCCTGACCTGGCTTCTGGAACACTGCCAACCGCTGGGGGTGACTCTCCCTGCCCTGAAAGCAGGACACTCAACCGAAAGACCGCTGGAGGTCCCACCATGATCCCGGCGCCCTTGACTGCATCCCACCAGGTGTTTAATGGATGCTGTAGATGTGCGTGGTGATGAATGCCAATCAGCCTTGGAGGGCAAACCCTCTGGAGATGCAGTTGAAGATCAGCTACAGCTCCTCCTGTCTCAATGGACCAGCTACAGCTCCTCCTGTCTCCTGCTTTCTTCCCGTTTCTAAAATGTGTGCCCTGAAGCCTTGTGTGTGTGTGTGTTACCTACACGTGCATCAGCCTCAGTTCTGAGCATGATTCCTTCTTCCAAATTTCTCGGTGGTGCACCCCTTGGCTTTGGGATTCCCAGACCGGAGGATAGCATTCTTTCTCTGATGCAGTGACCTCTCCATCATCACCCACCCCAGCCAGCAAGCCTGGACTTCAGAGGAATTCAGAGAAGTTCCTCAATGAGATAAGTGCAACCCTCAATTCAATTCACCTCTTCTTCAGTCACCCCTTAAGATCAAAGTGAAGGGAAGGAAGATCAGCTATCCAACTACAAATGGGATTCTTTGGGGTTTAATGTTCTTACCTGGGACTCATTCATTCATTTCAGTTCAATTCAGTTCAGTTCAGTTGCTCAGTCATGTCCAACTATTTGCAGCCCCATGGACTGCAGCACGCCAGGCCTCCCCGTCCATCACCAACCCCCGGAGTTTACTCAAATTCATGTCCATTGAGTCGGTTATGCCATCCAACCATCTCATCCTTTGTTGTCTCCTTCTCCTCCCACCTTCAATCTTTCCCAGCATCGGGGTCTTTTCCAATGAGTCAGTTCTTCGCATCAGGTGGCCAAAGTATTGGAGTTTCAGCTTCAACATCAGTCCTTCCATTTAACAGATATGTATTGATCCAGGACCTAAAATAGCCTATTATAGGTGTTAGTCCATTCAGGCTGCTATAACAAAATACCACATCCTGGGTGACTTAGAAACAGCAAACACTTATTTCTCCCAGTTCCCTGCATGTAAGAGGTTCAGGATCATGGCATCAGCATGGCCAGGCTTTGCTGAAGAGACCCACTTCCTGGTTCATAGCCAATGCCTTCTCCCTGTATTCTCACGTGGGGGAGGAGACTAGTGATTCCACTGGGGCTTCTTGTACATGGGCACTAATCCCATCAAAGGGCCCCACCCTCCTGACCTGCCTGAAGCCCTACCTCCTAACACCATACCATCCAGAGTCAGGATTTCAACGTGTGACTTTAGCGGGGACACAAACCTTCAGACCATACCAGGGCTCTACAACAGGCAAGTGTTTTCTATTAAAGACCAGACAGTAAACATTTTAGGCTCTGACTACTCGACTCCAGTGGTGTAGTGCAGAAACTGCCACAATGTGTCAACAGATGGGCGTGGTTACCTTCCAATAAAACTTTATTTACAAAAACACTCAGCAAGCCAGATCGGCCCACAGGCCCTGGTGTGCCAACCCCTGCTCTAAGAATACAAAGAATAGATGTTTCCCTGTGTGTAATGGGGGAGATGGAGTTTCTTCCTATCTTCTAAAATGTTGCAGAACTAGAAAAGCAAACCTTGGTCAAAATTCACTTTGACAGACCACAGCAAAACCAAGGCAAGCAGGGAAGGACTCCTGACTCCCCCAGCTCCTAACAGCATGGAACAGCCCTGGAACGGGAGACCTGGGTCTGTGTCTTACTGGTGGACATGCCACTTCCAGCATCCTTGGCTTCCTCTGCTGTAAGCTGAGAATATTGATGCTTACATGAATCATGGGATTACGATGAGCATCTGATGAGATAATAATTGGGAAGTGAAAATCGCTCAGTCGTGTCCAGCTCTTTATGAGCCCATGGACTATACAGTGCATGGAGTTCTCCAGGCCGGAATACTGGAGTGGGTAGCCTTTCCCTTCTCCGGCGGATCTTCCCTACTCAGGAATTGAACTGGGGTCTTCTGCATTGCAGGCGGATTCTTTACCAACTGAGCTGTCAGGGAAGCCAATAAATGGGAAAGTACTCCAAAAATTATAAAAGCTATGGAGGACTTCCTAGGTGGTCCAGTGGTTAAGAATCCACCTGCCAATGCAGGCAACATGGGGTCGATCCCTGGTCCAGGAAGAATCCAGATGGCGTGGAGCAACTAAACCCACGCACCACAGCTACTGAGCCCGTACTCCCAGAGCCCGTGCCGGCAGAAAGTAAAGCCACCGCAGTGAGAAGCCCTCGCACCGCAGCTAAAGAAAGGGTAGGCCGGCTCGCCACAGCTAGAGAAACCCCACATGCAGCAGTGAAAACCCAGCACAGCCAAAAATAAAATAATAAATAAATAAATAATTGTTTTAAAATGTACAAAGCTATGGGAATAGAGGAGGTCAATGTTGTCTCCCAACCTGATGCAAAGCATGACATTTTGTCCCAGTCTTGCCACTGATCAACTGCCTCTCCGGGCAGATCACCTCTCCTCTCTCCACCTTACTTTCCTCATCACTAAGATGCTGAAAGGGCATGATGGAAATGCTGTGTTGAAAATGTGCATTTTTATCTTGTTGTCATAATGTTATTATTAGACAATAATTACTTTAATTATCATTTTATACCGTCATCATCATCTTTGTTTTTCTCCGGGAGCTCACTAGATATTTTTATGGCCATAATGTACACTTGCCTGGCAAAGACACTTTCCCATTTTCACTTTAAAATGTCATTGTTGTTTAGTCTCTAAGTGGCGTCCGACTCTTTTGTGACCCCATGGACTATAGCTCACCAGTCTCCTCTATCCGTGGGATGTCCCAGGCAAGAATACTAGAGTGAGTTGCCATTTCCTTCTTCAGGTGATCTTCCTGACCCAGGGATCAAAACTGCATCTTGCAGTTGCATTGGCAAGTCGGGTTCTTTTACCACTGAGCCGCCAGGGAAGCCTCACTTTAAAATAGGCCCTCATCATTGCTCCAGCCCAGGACAAGGAACCTCCCCTAGGCTCCCAGGAGCAGGTCATTTGCTCACCTCTAGGACAGCACTCAAAACTATATTTGGTAATTGCCAGTCTACCTGTCTGTCTCTGTCTTCCTCTGAACTGTGAGCAGCTAGCTGAGAGGCAGGTGTGCTATAGTCCATGGGTCACAAAGAGTTGGACACCACTCTGCGACTGAACACCAATGATGACTTGCCAGTTTCAGGGCAGGATCTTGTTGCCACGATGTGTCTCCTGCTTGCCTCACTGGTCCCTCTGTGGCCGAACCCAGCTCTCCAGATCACTCCTGCAACATCCCCTCACCCCGGGCTCCTGAGCATCTCTGCTCCTGCTGATGTATCTGGAGGCACCCTCACACCTGCAGGGACTTGCCCCCTCTGGGCCCATGAGTCTGCAGGCTTTAGGCGTATGCTGCAACGGCCATGGCCACCCTCACGACACGGAGCTGCCCTGGCAGCTTCTGGAGGAGCTGGGCAGCGTTCCCTGTAAAAGCAAAAGGTGGACGGCCCAGGAGGCAAATTATCACTGTTTGGGAAACCGGAGTCGGCAATCAGGTCTTTTCCTTCCCCAGAAAAAATGTTCAAGTTTGCAGTAGCTCACGGACCTCAAAAAGACATCCTGCTGGGACAAGCCGTCAGCTGTACGTGATTGAAGCTCAGTGCCTTTGTCCATTCGGGCAGCTCTAACAGAAGGCCGCAGCCTGGGTGGCTTATTTTTTTAATTAATTTTTTTTTAGTATAATTGCTTCACGATCTTTTATTAGTTTCTGCTGTGCAGCGAAGTGAATCAGCTACATGTATACATGTATCCCCTCCTGTTTGGATTTCCGTCCCACATAGGTCACCACAGAGCGCTGAGGAGAATTCCCCATGCTGTATACAGTAAGTTCTGAATAACTTTCTATTTTATACATAGTAGCAGTAGTGTATGTACGTCCACCCCCCATCTCCCAGTTTCAATTATAAACAACAAAAATTTCTCACAGTTCTGGAGCCTGGAGGTCTGAGATCAGGTTTCCAGTGTGGTCAGTTTCTGCCCTTTTCTGGATCAATGTTTTCTCTTCATAATCTCATACGGTAGGGAGGGTGAGGAAGCTCCATGGGGCCTCTTTAATAAGGGCACTAATCCCATTCACCTGGGCTCTCCACCCTCATGTCCTGATCACCTCCCAAACGCTCCATCTCCTAACACTGTCGCACTGGAGGCAAGGGTTTGAACCTGTGAATCTTGGAGAGACACATGCTGACCACAGTACTCGGGAACACCCTCGCATATTTTCTCTCCCTCATCCTTCCCTCTTGCTCCCCTGGGTTTTCCAGTCTCCAGTAAAGTGTGAGCACCCAAGCTTTTGCCTCCACTTGATTTTCTAGGCAACCTGGCCTGAGACACAAGCTCCCAGGAAATGCCCACTTTGGTCATCCCCACCTCCTCTCCTGGTCCCTGCCTCTCTTATCCTTCCCTCGTCAGCCTTGAGTGTGGGCTAGACTTAGTAATCTGCCTTAATAAATGAATCTGGTAGAGGTGGTATGTTGACTTCCAAAACTAGATCTTCAAAGGCAAGGCAGCTTTCTCCTCTCTGACCCGCTCTGGGAGAGGCCAGCTGCCACATCATGGGGATGCTCACGCAGTCCTATGGAGAGGCCAACACAGCACAGAACTGAGCCTCCAGCTGATAGTCATGCGAATGAGCTTTCTCAGAAGCAGATTCTGCAGCCTCAGTCAAGACTTCAGATGAATGCAGCCCCCTGCCCACCTTCTTGACTGCCATATTATGAGATGCCCTGAGCCAGAACTTCCGTGCTAAGCCACCTATGGATTCCTGACCCTCAGAAACCATGCAAGATAATTTTGTTGTTCAGTCACTAAGTCATGGCTGATTCTTTGCAACCTTATGAACTGCAGAATGCCAGGTTTCTCTGTCCTTCACTATCTCCCAGAGTTTGCTCAAATTCATGTCCATTGTGTTGGTGATGCCATCCAACCATCTCATCCTTTGATGTCCCCTTCTCCTCCTGCCCTCAATCTTTCCCAGCATCAGGATCCAATGAGTCAGCTCTTCACATCAGGTGGATGCAAGATAATAAACAGTTGTTATTTTAAGTCTCTAAATTTCAGAGTAATTTGTTACACCAAAATGGATAATGAATATGACTTGTAACACCACCCTATTGGTACATGCACCGCACTCCCATCCTTTCCTCAACCACGGGGGTGACTTCTGCATCCCGGCTTCTCCCAAGCTCCTCTTGCCTGGGTTACCAGTTATCGCCCAGCTGATAAACCCAGGGACGCCTCCCAGTCCTTCTCTTGGGGGCTGCTCTGGAGCACTTGACTCTGTCGACCTCTCCCTCCACCCCCACCTCCTTGCCTTCAGGACGTGCTCCCCACAATCCCCCCAACCAGCCCTCCTCTCCCTCTTCTCCAGATCCACCTCCTCTGCCCCAGCTCAGAGCAGGAGTCCTCCAGAGCTCCATCTTCAGCCCGCCCCTCTTACTCTTCCCAGCCACCCGAAGAGGCGTCCTGTCTCGTTTCCACCGTGACAATCCCCAGTCCTTGGCTGATGACTGTCAAAGCTATGTCTCGCCCAGACCTGTATCCAGCTGTCTACAGAGCATCTCCAAAGTCCCTCAATCTCACCACATCCAGAAAACCTGATGCTGCATGCTGCCTTTCTTCTCTCTATCCCAGTTAATAGCACCTTCTTCTGTCTTTAAAACAGGGATAATAAGTAACAGTCTCCACTGTGCTCAGTGGGGCACCTTGGCCCAGGGTCAGTCACCACGACCCTGGGCAGGTGGGTCAAGGGTCAAGGATCACCCTGGGTGGTCCCTCACTCACTTCCTCCTGATTCTATAGGAGCCCCAGGACCCACATATGTGCTGCATACTTGCTTCTTTGGAAAACAAGCCTCATTTTGTCCTTGCTGTTGACCATGGGTGCTTGGGGACAGCCTGCTGTGCTGGGGGAGGAATGCTGGAGGAAGCCTGTGCAGAGTTCTTGCCACCCACCTGCACGCGGGGTGTCTTGCCTGAATCCACCCAGCTTCCTCCTCCCTTCCCTCCCCTCCGTTATCCCTCTCTTCTCTCCTCTCCTCTCTCCTCTTTCATCTCCTGCCTCCTCTCCCTCCTCTGTTCCTCACCTCCTCCTCCCCGCATCACTTCCTCATCTTTGTCTTTCCTCTATCTTGTTTCCATCTTTCCTCTTTCTCTCTTATCTCTTTTCTCCTCTTTCTCTGTCCTCTGTGTCTGTCTGCCTCACATTCATCATACCCCCTGCCTTCTTGACTCTCCGTCCTGTGCAAAGAATTTTCTCCCCTGCTGCCTCCAGGCAAAGTTGGTGGAGAAGAATGAATTTTGCATTCATTTCCCCATTATTCTGCTCCTGGACCTAAGAGAGCGGAATTCAGGGCCCTCTGTTTGTGACTAGAGATATGACATACCTTGATCTCTGAGTTTTGTTTTGTCATTTCCCATAAAAGTAAACCCCACTCAGAAAGTCAGACGCCAAGCCCGAGGCATCAGAGTGGCGAGCCTGCAGGCACGTCAGGTGGACTCTGCCCTGATGGCGGTCAGGGGAGATTTGGGGGCCCCCTTTGGCTTCAATCTCTAACAGGAGGGTAGGAACCTGTTAGAAAGTTTTCTCCAAGTTTCCAAGGATGAAGGAACTGGAAGTTATGTTTCTAGCCGAGGTCACCAGCGTGCGTGCGCGTGCACGCACGCACACACACACACAGAAGGAAGACCTGAGCAGGTGTCACCCCCCTCCCTGAAAGTGTATTTACTGGATCAGAGTCTTGAGTCATTGGAGCCAATGTGATGAGAAGGACCAGGGAAATACAGACTTCTCCCAATGAGTTTTTCTTCCTCACCCCTGTTTCAAAGAGAAACTGAGTCAGGATCACCACCCTTGGATATGTTTTCTGTTTACTGTGAGGATCTCACATCCATCATGCTCCTCCACCTCCTGTAATGAGACCACTTCAGTGACTCTGGGTCAACCATCCCAGGGTCAGATGGGCCCACCGAGGGGATGCTCAGTGACACCCAAAAATACAAGGATTGTCCATAACACACCCCAGCTCCATTCCATCCTCCAGATTCCAGCTGCAATGGCGTCTCCAATAAGTGGTCTTTGCCGTCCTAACCAAACAAAACAGTTTTCCGTATTAGGCTCTAGCCCAGCCTCTGGTTTGTTTCTTTCTTATACCTCCATCAACCAGACTTGTTTTGCTTGTATATTACTTGTGGATTGCCAGCCTCCCCACGACCATGCAAGCCCCATTAAGACAAAGACCTTATTGCTGGCTCAATTCCTGGCACGTGGTAGGTAGCTGGTTAGTGTCTGTTAAATGAATGGATGGATGGATGGATGGATGGTTGAATGGATGGATGGGACCACCTTACCCACACTCCTGATGCCAACAAGAATGAAACTGAGGCCCCGAGACTGCACGGCCAGTGGGGTTCCACACCCTCCAGCACCCTCCCCCCACCCCAGGTCTCCCTTTCTAGGCTGACCTCCCCTTCACCAAGGGTCCTTCCACAGGAACTTGATTCCCACCCACCTGCCATCCTCTTAAGCCAGGCCCATATTTCCTTTGGAGTAATAATTAAAATAACATATTCACCAGCTGTTTTTTTCCCCTAGATTTAATCTGCCCAGGCTCTGATTTGCATATTAAAAGCACTAATTAGCCCCTCCGAGTGCTTGAGCACGGAGAGCGGGAACTGGTCACGTCCTCCCCAAGGACCCATCCCCAGGGCTCTGGGCTGGGATTCGGATGCTGGCCGAGCCCTGGGCAGGGAGGAGCCTCCATGTCCCCCGCGTTTGGGGACTGGAGTCCGCCCGGCTTCATCCTGTGGCTCTTCTTCCCTTTGAAGTGTCGTGTTTGATCTGTTAGCTTGTCTGTCGGTTGCTGCTGGAGCATCTTTGGAGTGTGCGTTTGAGCCCCTCCTGGCCCCATCGGGTGGGGCTTGGGGCTCCCAGAACGGGGGGCGGGTGGCCTTGGAGCAGTGGTCCCCCAAAGGTGAGCCCCAAGTCCATCACGGCAGGCTGTCCTTGCAAGCTTTCTGCCACCGCCTCCCCGCGAGGATGAGAAGGGGCAATTCTAGCACGCCAGGGCCCTTTAAATTATGCCTTTATTGGAACCATACAAAGGAAGAGCTAATTGCTGTTGTTATTATTTCCTTAAAAATAAAAATGGGGAGGGAGGATGTGTGTGAGGGGATGATGAGGGGGGCTGTCTATAAAAGCTGTCAGCCCGTGAAGTGGGATTCTGAGGGTGGGGTGCCTCCAGGAGACTGCAGGCCCAGAGGTAGCATTCTGCTGTCCCCAGGATGTCTCTGAGTACTCCCCACCCCTCCCCTGCTCCCCTGGGCTGAGCTGGAAGGCAGGGACCTGCCTGATCCTTGCAGGGCTCCATTCAGAAGGAAACTGAGTCCCTCCTCACAGGAGTCATCGGAGGCTGGCCAGGGACCGGGCTGGGGAGTCAGTCCCTGACTTTGAGAAATTCCAGCCTGGCACACCACATGCTGCACCCGGACCCTGGGTTTTCGCAGTGAACAGCCCCTCCCTGGAAGGCCTGGGAGCCTGCGGGGGCTGGGCTGCAGCAGAGAGAGCCAGATGGCGACTGTGTGAGCACCAGGGGGCAGGCCAAAAACCATAAAAGGGAAGAACGAGCTGGCAAGAGAGTTTCTTTCTTTCCCTCCCCCCCGACTCAGCTCGGGGTGGGATCCAGCTCCGATGGCTTCAGGGGAGGGCGGGAGGCTGGGCCCAGCCCTGATCAGAGCTCAAGGCTCGCAGGCAGGCCCACCTCCCTGGCTGCCCCAAGACCACTGGTCCTCCCTCTCCCCAGCCCTTGCCCCCTGCAACCTGAGCCAGAACGCCCGCACTTCCTCCAGCATCTTGAGACACGACCCTCCCTGGTCCATTCCTGCCCTTGCTCCAGACCTGCTCACTGGGCATCTTGCCAGCACCAGAGGGGTGGACGGGAGAGTGGGAAGGCGTCCGGGAGGGTGAGATGGGTGGCCTTGACTCTCTGCAGCCAGATCAGTTGCCTAGGGTTGGCAGCCTAACTAGAGACACTGGCTTGGCTCCGAAAGGCAAGCATCAGAATCACAGGGAGAAAGCTTCAAAGTCAAGTGCGTGTCTTACAGCGGGCACAAAGGCCCTGGGAAAGTGGAAGGGAGATGGAGGAGCCAGCATTCACGATGTTCTGTGGACAGAGGACTGTCCCTTAAGACTCTCTCTTCACTGTGGTGGGAGGCATCACCAGAAACTCAAGGAAACAGGGAGTCAACTGAAAAGTTTTGTATCCAGACAGGAACTATGGGGACAAGAGAGAGTCAGCCAACAGTGACAGCCTGGGACTTAGGGGCAGAAGACCGGAGGAGCTGGACTTTTCCAAGTGAGCCAGGCCGGCATGGAAGCCTTGGAGGGCTAGACTCTGGGGAGATGGGGGCCAGGGCTGGATGGCCTGAAAGGAAGGTGACCATGCTGGGCCACGGAGGCCACCACAGGGGTGGAGAAGCTCCCCCAGGTCACAGGATGGAAGGCTGCAGGGACAAACCGAGGTGGAAAGGTAAAGGGAAAAGACACCTGGCAGATGGATGAATTTTGGGTTCTCTCTGGGCCTTGGAGAGCATGGGCTCGGCTCTGGAGAGTTGTCAGATCTTTCCAGCCTTCTATAAGGAGGTACCTGGGGCAGTGGGAGGAACAGTCACCCCTGCAGGCAAGAGCAGAAGTCGATCTAAAATGCCAAGCAGAGGGGAGAGTGGAGGAGGGGCGTTGCAAGACCCCCCACAGGGGCCAGAGAGCTGGCTCCAGAGCCCACACACCCCCAGGACAGCGGGCTGGGGGAGGTGGTGGACGTGGCTGACAGCTTGATTTAGCTCCACCAAGTGGTCTGTGAGCGTCTCCTTCCCAAGGAGAAATGGACACCCTCCCTCCATCCGGGATCTGGGTGTCAGGAAAACAGAAGGCACAGGAGAAAGTGCCCTGATGGAAAAGGTGACCCAGTGAGTGAAGATGACCAATGATTGAAGAGGATGTTAGTTCAAGTCTGAAAACTCGAGGATCACCGCTGAAGAAGTCCTGCATTGCAGGCGGATTCTTTACCAACTGAGTTATCAGGGAAGCTAAAAAGTCCTAAATTCTACCAAGTGTTCTGGAGGCTACTTTCCAAGAATGAGGGGGGTTTTCCCTCAGGGAATAGAATCTTTCCAAGGGGGAGCAGGGAACCCAAGTCAACTGGTTGCTGAGAAATACCCCCACACACCAGCAGTCCCAGGGCTGGGCATGGAAGCCCCTGACACAAAGCTTAAGAGCATCTGTGTTCTGTGAACATGCTCGAGTACTCCCAGACACAACGGCTGGAAAAAGTCACTCTCTGTGATCACTGATCTAGACTGCCACCCAGAAGTGGGTCACTCTGAGTGAGGGCAGTGCTTCGACTTGAGGAACACGGTCTCCAGGGCCATCAGAGGTGATCAGCTGCTGCTGTCGTGGGCTCCCCTAGGCCCTCGGATCTGGTTGTTAATTATCAGTGCACAGCTGGGGAGGTGTCCCAAAAAGGCCCAAAGGCCCAGGAACTGTGCGGCGGTGGAGTGTTAAGTATTGCCTTCCTCTTGGGCACACAGCTGGAAAAAGCGGAGAGGAGGAAGTAGATTCACCCCACATTTGACCCTGGGGAGTGGACAGGGTCGGGGAGGCTTCATCAGTTGGGATAGAAACCCAAGCTCAGACAGAGGTCTGGGAGATCACATTTTAGCAAGAACTGGGTAAGACGTGAAGGCGGCACGGACAGGAGAGAGACGGTGTATGTGCGTTATGGTTTTAATTTCTCCAAAACAGTCTTGAAAAACAAGAAATTGGTAACCTTGTCTAACTTTTAAACCAAAGAGGATTTTAAATACACACTACTAGGTATAAAACAGATAACCAACAAGGACGTACTGTATAGCATAGAGGACTATTCTCAATACTATGTAATAACCTGTAAAGATAAAGAATCTGAAAAAGAATATGTATATATACATATGCACATGTAACTGAATTTCTGTGTGGTACACCTGAAAACAAAAGGATAATGTAAATCAACTATTCTTCATCTAATATTTTAAAAATAAATAAATAAAATTTCAAATTCAAAAATTCAGAAAAGAGGGTTTTAAGCGCCATATTTGCGAGGTGGGCTGCTATTTTGGTGTTCTGTGCAGTGGGTTGTGTTTTTCTTGGACCTTACTCCTGGAGGAGGGTGACATCATTGCCTGATGTAGGTCATGTGACCACGTCTGGCAGGGCTGTCTAGAGGTGACACTAGACAGCTGAAGTGGGAAGCCGACTTGGAGGGCGACTTGGGGGATCTGAGCTGACGTCTTGTGTGGCCATGGATCAGTGTGAGATGGACACAGCCTGGAGTGTTTCAGGAGCTCCTGGGGCAGCTCGTGAAAAGCCCTGAGAGGCTGAATTGCGCATCTACTTGGATCCAGGAGGTTTTGAAGGGCTATAGGAAGGTCAGGAACTGCCCTTCCAACCTATTGGATAGCACAGGGAACTCTGCTCAATATTATACAACAACCTAATGGGAAAAAAATTTTTTTAAGAATATATATATATATATATGTATATATAATTGAATCAGTTTGTTGTACACTTGAAACTAACACAACACTGTAAATCAACTGCGCTTCAATAGAAAATTAAAAAGTAAGTTGACACTTCTCTGATGGCCCAGTGATTGAGTCTCCGCTTGCAATGCAGGGGGCCCAAATTTGATCCCTGGTCAGGAAACTAAGATCCCACATGCCACGACTAAGACCCAGCACAGCTAAATAGATAAACGAACTGTAATTTTAAAAAAGTAAGCTAATTGAAACATTTAAAACAATATTTAAAGGAAAACTGCTCTGCCTCTTTCGTCCTCTTACCACCTTTTCCCTGTTGGATGGCTGGTCCATGGAGAGGCTCTCAGGCTGACAGCCCTTCTCACTAACAAGGGACCTTGGCCCTAAGGAGAAGCTGGGCAGTAAAGAGCAAAGGGGGTGGGCCAAGCAGGAGGCTTGTTTAAGGCCACACGAGTACATGCAGCTCCTTCCATCAGGAGGTAGAGGCTGTCGGTGAAAGCAAGTCCCAAGACCAACCAAGATACGAGAGGTGGGAGGACTGTGAACTGGTGTGGCTGTGTGTTTCCTTCCATCACACACACACTCCACAGCTCTGCAATTCCATTTCTCAAGGGATACCCTCACGAGACTCTTATGTAAACTGACAACTACAAGAATGTTCATTATAGCATCATTTATTATGGCAAAATCGAAAATAAAAATGCTCACCATTGGGAGAATATATAGATGAAAAGTGGCAGGTTCACACATTGGAAAACTATGCAGCAATTTATAAGATGAACTAGCTCTCTATTTACAACATGGACGAATCAAAGAGCATGTTGATTGAGGGGGAAAAAACTTATATTGTTTGAATGTGTTTTTTGTTATTTAGTCGCTAAGTCATATCTAATTCTTTTGTGACCCCATGGACTGTAGCCCGCCAGGCTCCTCTGTCCATGGGGTTTCCCAGACAAGGATACTGGAGTGGGTTGCCATCTTCTCCTCCAGGGGATCTGCCTGACCCAGGGATCAAACACATGTCTCCTGCATTGATCAGTTCAGTCAGTTCAGTCACTCAGTCGTGTCTGATTCTTTGTGACGCCCATGGACTGCAGCACACCAGGCCTCCCTGTCCATCACCAACTCCCAAAGTCTACTCAAACTCATGTCCATCACGTCGGTGATGCCATCCAACCATCTCATCCCCTGTTGTCCCCTTCTCCTCCCACCTTCAATCTTTCCCAGCATCAGGGTCTTTTCCAGTGAGTCAGTTCTTCGCATCAGGTGGCCAAAGTACTGGAGTTTCAGCTTCAGAATCAGTCCTTCCAGTGAATATCCAGGACTGATTTCCTTTAGGATGGACTGGTTGGATCTCTTTGCAGTCCAAGGGATTCTCAAGCGTTTTCTCCAACACCACAGC